AAAAAAAAAAAAAAAAAAAAAAAGACGGAAAAGGAAACTAACTAGATCTAAACCATCTGAGATCCTAAGTTTCAGAACTGGCTATATGGGAAGAATAAATGGCAAGGGTGTGATAAGTCAATTAAAACAAATATCCCAACAAAGAAACTTTGCTCTATATAGAAAGAATGAAGAAAACCTATCTTATAGTAAAATTTCTATAGAAAACAAAAGTATACTTTTGGTAGAGAATGAGATCATTCTCTTTTTTAAAAAGCTTTATTAAGTACATTTGTATTTCTACTTAATTAACACGAATCCTCTATTTAGACGTAAGTTTTATAGCTGAGTAAATTATTCATTTTCTTTTTTTTTTTTTTTTTGAGACAGAGATTCAAGCTGCTCCCCTGGGTAGAGTGCCATGGCATCACAGCTCATAGCAACCTCCAACTCCTAGGCTCAAGCGAGTCTCCTGTCTCCACTTCCCAAGTAGCTGGGACCACAGGGACCCACCACAATGCCTGGCTATTTTTTTTTTGGTTGCAGCCGTCATTGTTGTTTGGCAGGCCCTGGCTGGATTCAAACCCACCATCTTAGGTGTATGTGGCTGGCGCCTTAGCCACTTGAGCCACAGGCACTGAGCCAAATTATTCACTTTCATAAAAAGAACTCATGGATGCTCTTATATGCCGTTAAATTCTTAAATTTAAAAACCACAAAGTAAATGTTTAACCATTAGATATTGTAGCCAAATGAATAGTGAAAGAGTAAGATAATGGTTTTGATAAATAAGAGCAAAAGGTCATTTACTCAATACAAACCAAATACTGTGTTCCTCTCCACCACAGCAGACTTATCTCCATGACCACATGCAACTTGCTGATTTACGTGAGCAGACAGGAATGACGGCAGAGCATTCTGCCAGATTAAAAAGTTCAGCAGGTAGGAAGCTGTTACACAGTCATATGGTTTGGTGCTTGTGCTAAGCTCCAGTGCTGCCTGGAATAAGCCTTGCAGTTTTTCTGAATCCTAGAATAAAGCACAGACTCAGTCACTGAATAATTAATTTAAAGAAACAATAAATATTTTGTGGGACTTGGGGGTTTTGAATCTTTTTTGGTGGGTTTTGTTTTTTTTTTTGAGATAGGGACTTGCTGTAGCATCATCATAGCTCACTGCAACCTCAAACTCCTCAAACTCCAGGGCTCGAGTGATCCTCCTGCCTTAGCCTCTCAAGTACCTGGAACTACAAGATGCATACCACCATGCCCAGATTATTTTTATACTTTTCATAGAGATGAGGTATCACTATGTTGCTCAGGCTTTTCTCAAACTCCAGGCCTCAAGCAAGCCTCCTGCCCTGGCCTCTCAAAGTGTTGAGCCACTGCCCCAGCCAATAATAAATATTTTAAAACACAGTCCATTAGAGAAAAATACAAATCCATTAGGAGGCTGATCCTGGTAAAAATTCACATGTATATATGTGGAAAACAAAGTAATAAGATCGGCCTCAGAAATTCTACATCAGAGCTCCCACACCTATAGCTCACATAAAGATCCACTCATATAACCTGTCCTAAAGGAGACAGTTCACTGTAATAGTCATGGAAATACACTAAGCTGACAACAGAAGACATACATGAATCCTACTACCCACTTAACAGCTGATCAAATGCACATTCACCACCCTAGAAGTTGGGATTTGGTTGCTCAATAATATTCTCATTCTGGCTCAGTGCCTGTAGCTCAAGCGGCTAAGGCACCAGCCACATACACCAGAGCTGGCGGGTTCGAATCCAGCCCAGGCCTACCAAACAACAATGACAACTACAACCAAAAACTAGCCAGGTGTTGTGGCGGGCACCTGTAATCCCAGCTACTTGGGAGGCTGAGGCAAGAGAATCGCTTAAGCCCAGAAGCTGAAGGTTGCTGTGAGCTGTGACACCACAGCACTCTACCCAGGGTAACAGCTTGAGGCTCTGTCTCAAAATAATAATAATAATAATAATAATATTCTCATTCTACTAAGATTATTCCATACCTTTCTAATAGAAGAAAACATTATGAATTTAATTTTGAAGCTGACTATATGCTTCCTAATATGTAATGATGTTTTATGATTCTGAAATAGTAGATATCAATTATACTTGACAGAAATACCAGTTCATTTCAATTTAAATTTTTGGCCATTTGATATGTTTCATTTTCTGTCACCTAAACAATTTAAAAGTAGTGGTCAAAACTTCAAATCTATAAATATTAGAAAGAACCAATTAAGCATTTAAGCCATTTTTTTAATTGCAGTAAGTCCCTGAAACTACTTTAGTAAGTATTAGTAAGAAATACCACAGCTATATGGGACCAATGATAAGTTGGGGGAAGGTAGATAAAGGAAGAGAAAGTCTCCTCTGTAAAAACCTCAGATGGTACAAAAGTTAGCAACCTGGGTACCAAAGAACCTTCTGTTTACCAAGCAGAAAGACCACAGGCACATGTGGATGCCAGAGAGCAACTCCCAGTGTGGGCCCAAGTAGAAGAGGTGCTTTGATATCTACAAAGCCATCCAGAAGCCACAGAAACACACTGCTCTCTGGTATATGCTCCTATAGAATGCCACCACATCTACAAGATGTCTTGCCCTAAATACAGCCGAACAGCCAGACCCCAGATCATGGCTCAGCTGTAGCGGCTATCCTTGGCCTTTACAGAGCTCCAGCAGAAAGCCAAAGCTGAGCTCCAGAGCTAGTACTCTGCTGCTGAGTCAACAACCCCAGAAGAAGCCTCAAGGGCCAAAGTGAGAGCCTGGGGTCAGAGTTCCCCTGTAGACCTGCCGCCATGCTATGCATTCACTCCCAAGCCCATCTTGGGTTCCAACCCCAAGCTGGGAAGAGCAATGTGTCAAGAAGAAAGCGAGGGCTGGTGATGGGGTAGAGACTGTTGTTAACCTCAAGTACTCTGAGTTTCAGTCTCAGTTTAGCTATTGGTAGTTGGAAAACCAGAAACATGTTCTTTACCTCATTTACACTCCGCTTCCGATTCTACAAAGCAGAGAGATTATCGCAAAAAAACACAAGTTACTGTAAGTGATATGCTTTGATCAAATATGACATGTCCAAGGGAACTGGGGAGACCACAATTAACTGAAATCTACTAATAATCTTGTAAACAACAAAACCTACAGCCTCCTACTCGTCCCTTTTTATCACACCAATTAAAAAAAAAGCAAAGCTCACTGATTTCAGCCTTGTTTTCTTTTATTTTCTCCTTTCCCACCAACCCAAAATAGTAGAGAGATATTAATGATATCTGAAATAGTCCAAAAACATAAGAAGGCAAACACAAAGATCGTGAATTATTCTCAGATTACTTTATCTATTATTAAAATAGAAAGTTTCCAAGCCCACACTACATTTATATTTACAGAGGAAAAATCCAAATACCTGAAATTGTATAGCTGTTTTTGGTAACTTCATCAGAAGATCAAATGCTAAAATTTTCACTTCTTCAAAAGTGCTGGTAAAACATTCCATTAACGTTTGGAAACGACCAACATCAATATCATGACTCAGCTGATACACTGTATAAACACTACCTAAAAAAATTTAAGAAAAAAAATTTTTTAAGTAAAAAGGAAAAGGCTATCAACCTTCTAAAGTTAGAGAATTTACAGAAAATCAGTACCAAAGGAAATACATTTCATACTTTAACCAGAGTAGTATAAAAGAATAATTTTTGCATTAATTTATTTTTTGAAATTATAAAATAAGTATTATACTCCAAGTAAATAATAAACTTTTAAAAATCTTTAAAACCATTTTATTCTTGGCTCAGTGCCTGTGGCTCAAGCGGCTAAGGGGCCAGCCACATACACCTGAGCTGGCAGGTGCAAATCCAGCCCAGGCCCACCAAACAACAATGACGGCTGCAACCGAAAAATAGCCAGGTATTGTGGCTGGCACCTGTAATCCCAGCTACTGGAGAGGCGGAGACAGGAGTTGAGGTTGCTGTGAGCTGTGATGCCACAGCACTCTACCCAGGATGACAGCTTGAGGCTCTGTCTAAAAAAAAAAGCCATTTTATTCTCTTTTTCAAAAGATATTATATAAAAGATTACTGAGTTATTTTTTAAACATAAACAAATCTCAACACAATATTCCTATAGAAAGGAAAGAAATATAAATAAGCAAAAATAAATTTAGGGGCACTTCTTTTTAAAAATCTTCATAAAGATTTGATTCTTGATTTAAATCCAGTTTGATAATATCTTAAAATCAAGTGACATAGAATTATCAGTATGATGACATATTGTAAGAGACTTACTGGGTCTCAAAAATAAAGGATTCTTTTGGTTATTCAGGAGAAAAGCTTGAGTCATCTGCAAAATGAAAAGAATTTGACTGGCTTCAATGTTCCCCACTGCAATATGCAGTGCTAAAAGATAATGAAGCAATGCTTCCAAAATCCTCAGCAAAGGAAGATGTGTAGAAGTTTGTACACCAAATTTCAAGTATAAGAGTAATAGAATCATTTTTAATATGCAAGTACTCCAAAAACTACTACTTATGTCCAAAAACTCTGCTTAGAGAAAGAATTCTGGCTCAGCGTCTGTAGCACAGTGGTTACAACGCTGGCCACGTACACCAAGAGTGGTGGGTTTGAACCGGCCCTGGGCCACCTAACAACCATGACAACTGCAACAAAAGAACAGTCAGGCATTATGGCAGGCACCTGTAGTCCTAGCTACTTGCCAGGCTCAGGCAAGAAAATCACTTAAGCCCAAGAGTTGGAGGTCGCTGTGAGTTGTGATGCCACAGCACTCTACCAAGGGCAACATAGTGAGATTCTGTCTCAAAAAAAAAAGAAAGAGGAATTTCAGCCAACCAGGAAATGAACAGAGAAATTATCACAACAGAATGATGGTAGTGGGGTATAATGGCTCATACTCACATTCTTAGCACTTTAGGAGGGCAAGACAGGATCGATTTTAAGAGTTTGAGATCAGCCTTGCCAACAAAGTGAGACCCTGCCTCTACAAAAAAACAGAAAAATTCTGGACAGCGCCTGTGGCTCAGTGAGCAGGATGCTGGCCCCATATACCGAGGGTGGCGGGTTCAAACCTGGCCCCAGACAAACTGCAACAAAAAAAGCCAGGTGTGGTGGCGGGCACCTGTAGTCCCAGCTGAGGCAAGAGAATCGCCTAAGCCCAAGAGCTGGGGGTTGCTGTGAGCTGTGATGCCATGGCAGAAAAATTAGCTGGGTGTGGTGATGCATGCCTATAGTCCCAGCAACTCAGAAAGTTGAGGCAGGAGGATTTCTTAAACCCAGGAGTTTGAGTTTTCAGTTAGCAATGATGCCATCATTGCACTCTAGCCCAGGAAACAAAAACTCTGCCTCAAAAATAAATAAACAGGCTCGGCGCCTGTGGCTCAAGTGGCTAAGGCGCCAGCCACGTACAAAGTGGTGGGTTTAAATCCAGCCCAGGCCCACCAAACAACAATGACGGCTGCAACCAAAAAAGAGCTGGGCGTTATGGCGGACACCTGTGGTCCCAGCTACTTGGGAGGCGGATGCAGGAGACTTGCTTGAGCCCAGGAGTTGGAGGTTACTGTGAGCTGTGATGCCACAGCACTCTACCCAGGGGGAGAGCTTGAGGCTCTGTCTCAAAAAAATAAATAATGACACCACTTAACTCTGGGATTAAAACTAAACAATTGTGGGAATATTGGTTTCACAGCAGAATGCGAAAACATTTAGTATTTAACAAATGAACCCCTGAGAACTGAAAATATTCCTATGCTTACTTAATTTGAGGAATGATGTTCAATGGAAAGTAGGATATGAGTTTCTCATTTAACCTGAACTTACTAGTTAGTACAACTCTGTAAAATTCCTAAATTTTAGCAGGCAACTGGAGTTTTTCTTCCTTCCTTCATGCCTCTACTCAAATCTGCTTCTTCTTTTCTATTAAAATGTCTTTAATTATCTTCCTGCACATTGCTGTGGCCAGAACCTTCAGTAAAATGGTGATTAGCACTGGTGACAGTGGGCCTCTGATCTCTTTCCTGATCTTAGGGGGAAAAGTTTTCAGTTTTTCACAACTGAGTATGGTGTTAGCTGTGTGTGTTACAAATGTCCTTCATCATATTAAGGAAATTCCTTCCTATTCCTAGTTTGCTGACTTTCTTTTTTTTAATCATGAAAGGGTTTGAATTCTGCCAAATGCTTTTCCTGCAGCAGCTGAGATGATCATGAGGTTTTTCTCCTTCATTTTAATATGGTGTATTACACTGACCTACCCTGCATTCCAGGGATAAATTCTATTTAGTCATGGTATATGATATTTTTAATATGCTGTTGGATTTCATTTGCTAGTATCTATTTAGCTGAAGACTTTTGCTTTTATATTCCTAAGGGAAATGTGCCTGTAGTTTTCTTTTCATAGTAAAGTTGATATCTGGATAATGACAACCTTATACAATGAGTTAGGAGGTATTCCCACCTCTCCAATTTTGAAAAGAATTGGTGTTAATTCTTAAAATACTTGGTAGTATTCACTAGTAAAGACACTTGCCATTAACTTTTCTTTGCTGGGAGGCTTTTACTTGACAATCTCTTTACTTGCTATGGAAACCGTTCAAATTTTCTATTTCTTCTTGAGTCAGTAACTTTCATGTTTCTGGCCACTTGACCATCTCATGTAGTTATCTAACAAGTAATCATTTTTATCTCTACAAGGTTAATTAGAAATGCCCCTACTTTCATTTCTAATTTTAGTTATTTACATTTTCTTTCTTTTCTCTTAGTCTAGCAAACTTTGTCAATTTTGTTGATCATTTTAAAAAACCAACTTCTGGTTTCATTGGTTCTCTATACTGTTTTTCTATTTTCTATTTCATTTATCTCTGTTCTAATCTTTATTATTTCCTTCCTATTGTTAGCTGTGGGTTAAGTTTGCTCTTCTTTTATGATTGCTTGAGGTATAAAGTTATGTTACTGATTTGAGATTTTTTAATATAAGCATTTATAGCTATAAATTTCCCTCAGAGCACTGCTTTCACTGCATTTCATTCATCTCAGAAGTATTTTCTAACTTCTATGTGATTTCTTCTTCGACCCATTGATTGTTAAAGAGCTCTGTTCAAATCTGAAGCCTTCTCTGACACTACTGCAAAAAACAGCTAACATTCCTCATCTTCCTAGGACCTCTGTATCTCCCCCTCATCTTCTTTTTTTTTTTTTTTTTTGAGACAGAGTCTCACTATGTGGCCTTGGGTAGAGGGCTGTGGTGTCACAGCTCACAGCAACCTCAAACTCTTGGGCTTAAGCAATTGTCTTGCCTCAGCCTCCCAAGGAGCTGAGACTACAGGTACCCACCACAACACCCAGCTATCTTTTTGCTGTAGTTGTCATTATTGTTTGGCAGGCCTGGGCGGGGTTCCAACCTGCCAGTCCCAGTATATGTGGACAGTTCCCTAGCCACTGAGCTACAGGCACTAAGCCACCCCCCTCATCTTCTTGAAATAGTTTTTTTTTTTTTTTTTTTTGAGACAGAGCCTCATGCTATCCCCCTGG